TGGCAGAGTATAGAAAAGGTATCCTCAATCTTCTCATGACAGCTGCACAGCATTTTTCTAGGCTGGCAGTCATTGTCAAATCAACAACAAACCTGCTGCATTTAGTGCTGCTGATTCTCCATAAGGCATTTCCAAGGCATTTTAAAATGCCCAACATTTAGTGAGGACAGTTATTACTTCCCAACCAATTTAACAGGGTATCACTGCAGAATTTCACCCAAGGATAGGCATAATATACTCAACCTGTCCTACAGCACTGTAGGACTCTGATAAGGTGAAATACAGTGTTTTGAAAGTGTATATTCATGTATATTCCTAATAGCCTAATGAGCACAAAATTCATTCAGACATGCAGAAGAGCTAGCTAAATCCCTGAAACAGCATCCTAGTCCTGTGCATTGTTTTACCAGGCCAATCATAGTTTTCATTTCTAACTGTGCCATATTGGGTTGACAAATATTTCACAGAAGGCCTTCAGCTCTGGTTTTATCTTGTTCTAGTTGCCCTTATTTTTTCCTATTGCAAGTTTGATTGGTACATCCCTAACAAAGTTTATGATGGATCAAAAAGAAAACCTTATCCAGTTTGAGTAGCAAAGGGAATGGCTCCTTAATTACCTGGAATTAAAGGGAATGGCTTCCCTTTAATTACTGCCACTTGATTTAAATCTGAAAGGCAGTGCTTTAGAGTGACAATGTGTTTAGTCTAACATTCATCAAAATAAGAAAAATTTGAATATAGTTGTATTATGTAATGAAGAGACAGGAAATACTGAGACTGTTAAGCTATTATCTGTCCCTATTTAGAAGTAGTTTTTACTGAGAACTGTAGCAAATTGAAGTAATATTAATTCTGGCATAACTTTCTACTCTTATTGCAGGGTGACTCAAGCCACCTTTTTATCTCAGAGGAAACAATATAATACTAGAGAAATAGCCTTTGAGAGAAAAACTGTACCCCTGGTTTAGAGTTTACATGAAGGTATTTTTTTAAACACTTTACTGAGACGTTTTTGTTATGGCACTGAAAGAATATACAATGTGGAAGTATAAAACTATATTGAATCAGAAAATAGACCTCACATTACTTGTTACATGGGCTAATATGGGAGAGTCTGCATTTTTCATCACATCTATTTTCACAGAAAACTATTATTTTTATCACTCTGTTTTAATCTATTGTATTTCCCCTAAGTAGCAGATTCACCTTCAGGGACTGATTTATACATTGCAGTTCTGTTAGTGTCTTGGTTTCCAAAATGTTTTCAGGAATTGTGGTAAGCTCATGTCACTGTTAATTAACCTTAAAGGGAAGACAAAACAACTCCCCTGTAATCACAGAATGATACTACACAGTCTTTTTAGCCACCACTGGTTCTAACTTTTAAATTAGTTTTAGAAAATAGCAAAACAATTTATAAAGTCACATTGAAACTTGGAATAATCAAAGTGGAAACTATTTGGCCAGTAACTAAATATTGTTCATTAACTGCTGGCAATGATTAATATTCTAGGCAAATTATTACTGATTCTATTTCCAGTGTGTCTACATACTTATGACAAAATTCAAGCTTTTGAAAGCAATTAGGACCAAATCCACAAGTGAAGAAAATAATAATCTACAATAATATAATACTTTAATAATTTAAATATTCCTTTCTTATAAGGGAAAAGTTATTGTGCAATTCATATTATGAATCAAAGTTTTGTGGGGTAAGTCCCTCTTTTTCTTTTTTAATTTTTTCAGTTAAACTGGGTAAGTAAACTGATAAATCATGTTTTTTGTTTTGACCACATAGATTAAACAAGAAATTATAGGGATTATAAAAATACTTTTTTTTTTCCAACTCACAAAACCATCTGAATTGACAAAGGCAATAAGAAGTCAAATTTGATAGAAACAATTTAATTTTAAAATTTCTTTTTGATGTGCACAAAGACAGAAAACTCCTTATGTGGATAAGCTTCCCTACAGTAGTCACTCTGATTGGTCTCCAATAGATAATCTTTATAGGAGTATCAGTTTTGTATCAAGAGGATAATAAAGGAGCTGATGTGGAGCAGCATACAATGATGTGTGTGCCCTCTGTAAAGTCCTCCAGAATAAGAAAATGTCTCTGCTTTAACAGGTATCCTTTAAGAGAGACTCCAAATGTGAGTCTTTCAAGGCTAAGTTGTGAAAGACCAGAAGCCAGGCTCCAAGGATTCTGAGCACCTGGATACAGGGGATACAATGCAAAAATGCAACCCTTTTCCTGGAAAAAGAATGGGTTAGAGGGAAATGGAGGAACTTTCTAATTTCTTCCTCATTAGTTAAGTACTAGGAGTTTGGGGGGCAAAATCCTAGTTTTAAGTTTCCCAGTAATTTCCTTTATGTACTATAGATAATATATATAGTCCAAAAAAAGAAAAAAAAGAGGTGATATTAGACTCATCTAGACATTAACTGTGTGCTGCTTATTGTGGCTAAACTGATCCTGTTACAGCTGCTTGATATGGTTAATTCTCTGTACTATTAGATCAATGAAACTGTAACTATGGCATTTTTACTAAAAAAGGAAAGTAACAATATTTAAAGTGAAAACTTAGTATTTCTGGAATGCAACAGAACATCAAAAACTGGTCAAACCATCATAAATTCTGCAGTAGTCTTGCACATGTAATTATATCATCTGTTCCAGATGCTCCCAAAGACCTTTGAAAAACTGTGTGATTTCTTCAAGTGACCTCCCCACATGAAATTTACTTTTGCAAACAACACTTGAGTATCAGATAATGAGATGATAATTTCTTTTAGAGAAAAGGAACATCGAGTTTACTATCAATTGTGGAAATTCATGAGTTATATGTAATTTCTTAAATTGTGAACTGTCTTGTTAATAAAATCTGCATACTGATTGTAAGCCTTCTGGTCTTCCCAAAAAATGGACTACTTTTGAATTCCAAGTTTCAAAACCAGTTATTTTTATTTTACTATTACTCAAGTATGGCTCAGTGAATTGTATATTAAATTGATCTGATTACCTTCCTAAGCATGGGGGGAAGGAGGGTTTTCTTAAAGACTGTAAGAATGGAAAAGGTCAGGACAACATGAAAGAGTATTTTTCAGACCACAAATGAGAAACTGATTGAAAGTTTGCAATGTAAAAATGCAGTCTAACCTCTGTTTTGCAGAGGTTGAGGTGCATGTTTTTTGACCATTTACTAAAACAAAATTTCTGGTGAGAATCTTGGTTTACATAAAACCACACCAAACCAAACCAACCCCTCATCCAGATTATATTCATATATTTATTAATACTTTATATACTTCTCATTATATTGGTTAACTCTAAAATAATATTAAATTCATTCCATCAACTCTGTTCTTCCCCAAAATGCTGAACAGGAATGAGGAGTGATAACAAATCAAACAGATATATGCATCACTAATCCATACAGCTCAGCTCTCCTTGAAATGTAAATTCCAGAAAGGGACTTGCATTTTCAAAGATGCATGCAGCTTCTGCTAACTGGTGCTCCTGCATTCAACTCATTTAAAGATTAGCTGTAAACTTCAGAGAAGAAAGACTTGATGCCTGCAAGCATAAATATAGAAAGACATTAGAATTTTCTCCCTTCCTTTTTCTCGGGAGACTATGAAATTTAATGTGGCATATAGACGTATGAGTTTTTCAATTACTAGCATCTACCTGAAACTTTTATTAAAGTATACATTGTTTTCAAATTTGCTTCTGTAAGAAAAAAATAAAAAACTCAAAATAAATTTTCAGAATGTATAAGAAACAGAAAGTAATAATTTTTGCCCAATATAAGCTGCATTTATGTTGCTCCCTTTGATGAAATTGGAAGGAGTTTTGTTTTTTACTGACATTGCATTGGTTGGAAAGAACCAGCCATGCTAGACAATATTGGGAATATGGATTTGGGTGTTCTGTTATCAGACTAAAGTGCTGTGTCCACAAAATAGAAAGAACCATTCTGATATGGAATCACACTGTAAATTCAGAGTTCAGAGATTTTCTGGTCTAGCTTTTTACTTGACAAAAGACAAAGAGCACACTGTTAGACTGCACAACTGTATTCATTACAGTTTGCCTATGCAATGTCCTTGTAGAGATGGTAGAAGACCAGCATAAACATTCTGTTCCTTGACTAATTTGAAACAAAAAGTTTTGTATTTCCACAGATTCTTATTTGACATTGTATTTCTTAGTGCCTCCATCTGATGAATATTAATGATTAAGAAGCCACAATCTCAGAAAAGTGGAAGAAGTAAAAGACAATTTGCACCATCTGTAGAAATCAGGGATGTAGTAAATATACTTCAGAAAGGTAATTTCAGAGATTAATTACATGTTAATGAAAATAATTTGCTCTCATACATACAGCATATTTTCTCTCATACATACATATACAAGCAGTAGAACAGCTAAAGAATAAGATTCATTATATTCTTTTTAACATTTTACATTTGTTGAGAGAATATTTGGTGAAAGATATTTCTACATAGAGTCTGATTCTATCCAGCTTCAGAAGAATACTGCTACCTGCCTAAGTAGCCCACTCATAAAGTATTAAAAGCCTAAAAATCAGCCCTGCAATACATACCTCTTAGCCTGGAAAATGGAAGAATCCCATGGTAGGAACTCCTTTAGGCTGAGCACTGACTTAGGTAGAAGGACAGAGATGCAGGATCTTCATTGGGTTTGATGCTCAGAGTTGATTTTCTTCTTTGGTATTTATGTGTAACAAATTGTTTACATGAAAAAGCAGAAAAATCAGCACAATACTGTTAAAAAATATTGAAAATAAAATCCTGATGCAGGGCTAGAAATAGTTGTGGTTCTTATATATAACCTGAGTATGTCTGAATACTGTCTGAGATATGCAACACAAGAGTTTTTTTTAATGTTGAGACTATCCCACGGTCTACATTAGAAATGGCAAAATAAAACTACACCATGCTTCAGGGGGCAAGAAAATAATTTTTTTTTTTTTTTAACAAGAACCATTGTGCCAATAGAGGTATATAAAGCAAAGTCAGGAGAACAATAGAATAATTAGTCAGAGAGTACAAACATAATTCATATGGTAGTACTAAGAGCCTTTCCCTTCAAGAGCAAAGTGATAAAATTTATGCAATCAAATATTTATACAGTCACTCGTTAATCGTTAGTATTTTTTTGGCATTGATTTTTATTTTAGTGTATAGAATATTAGTCTTCCTGGGATATTTTAATTTCTTTGCATTCAGAACCCTCACTTTAACCTTCTTCAAACAGTTTATATTTTTACTTTGGAGATTTTTGGAAAACACAAGATAATAAGAGTGTGGTTTAATACCCATGTTATACAGACAGGTAGCTTCTAGCTCACCTATTCAAAATTACAGGTGAAATAGATTCCTTCTATTATTAATTAAGTACTTCAGCATATTAAAGATTATGATTTATTTATTGGAGCTACTATGTATGCCCCTATTTTAACATACAATTTAAACTTATTTTATGAAAAATTCTATAAATCAACACCACTATTGTGTGGGATATAAAAAATACTAACAACAAAAAATACAGGACAGTTAGAATAATACTATTTCCAATATTTACATTTTTTACAGTTAGATGCATTTTTCCAAAACAGCAGAAATCTTGTAGAGATACACCTTTGCTAAGTTTGCTGAAGTTAATGTATTTGCATGTGAGACAAAGAAGATCAGAATATGACTCCCAGTAATCATACAAATACATAAAACTTATTTTTCCCAACATAAAGAGTACCCTTTCAACGAGTAACAGATGTGTTGTTCCAATGAAGCATATAACCAGTGTGTTAATTCTCATGATACGAGCCTTTACAGTTTAGAAAGGTATGTCTGAAAGTGTGTCTCAGGGCCTTTTTAAGAAATATTGACCCCAAATGTATTAATGCCAGTCAAAGGAATGATTAACCATCCTGTAAAATTTTGCATTGTGCTCTCTGAAATAAGAATACAGTTGCTCTAAAACAGTGCTGTTAACAAGAGGATGGGGACGTCCTTTGGATTCATGTAAACATCTCTCCCTCCCATCACTTCTGATGCAGTAGAATCCCTTGGTTTGGTTAAAATAAAAATTAGAAGACATAATTCGGGATGGAAGATTTAGAAATCTTTCAACTTTTTGTAATTCAGGAAGAGGGTCCTTGATCAAAGTATTTCCATCCACTATGTGAATCTGATCCAAACTGAAATGCTTAAGCCACTTTTCCATATGGACATCATATAGACTTCTCTGAATAGCTTTGTATTTGGTATTAAGCACTCCATTCTTAATAACAATATCTTCAAAGAGCTGAACAGGCTTGTGACTTTCTACTCTGTTGTAATACACTTGGGTATAGTCAGATATAACTCTCTCAGTGGGATCTCTTAGAATGAGCAGCAGTTTAATGGAGCTATTCATGTCATGAATTCTTCCTGGAGCCTGTGGTGAGGTAAAATAACCTGGTGTTTTCTCAATTGTAATTTGATTTCCATAAGAAAATGGCATCAGATTTCTATACCAGTCTATTCCTTTCACATAATTTTCATCCCAGTCAAAGAAGTGGACTTCTGTAGCTGCCACCACAATGTTAGGATGAATATCCAACATTTCCAGCAAAGCCCTGGTCCCTCCTTTACGAACTCCTATGATGATTGTCTGAGGTATTTGTCTGCTTGTGCCAGGAGGTCTCACCTGTGCTGAATAGTGCTCACTTTTATTGCTGAATAATCCCACTTGTGACTTCAGTGTTTCCATCAGTGCCCCATTCTCAACAGGAGCACCCCGAGCATGAGTCAGCAGAAGATAAGCTGACACGAGTAGGAAGGCCATGTGGAGAGGAATAATTATTTCAAGATAATGTTTTGCTCAATTAATGTAAGAATAGGTGAGTCCCCTCTTGAGATGGCTGGCAGAACCCGTGGTAAGCACACAGCAAGCTTCTGAAGCATCTGCAAAAGAAAATAAGACAAATCAGTGATTATAAACTCATCATCAAAAATTCAACTCACAATTCAATTCACAAAGCTAATCTGTGATCCCAATAAGAAATTAATAAGGAAATTATTTGTTTCCCCTGAGTTTATATCAGGACAGAAAAGTCCCATGTGTTGGGGCTTTTTTCTCCTTACCATGAGTGACCACTGATGGTTACTAACCTTTCAACAACTTTTATTTCCTCTGAGCAGATTAGAATTGTTTACTTGATTTTAAATCCTGACAATTTGTTGCTTGCTTTGATTTTCCTAATTATCTTCCATATGTAGCACATACTTCTCTTGTTATAAATACCGTACCCCGTATGATAATAATTCCAAGGAATATTTGAATGTCAGCACCTTTCCTCAAATTCCCTGCTAGAATAATCTATTCTCATATAAATAACAGACCTGGATGATGGTGCCACCATCTGGGTTTTAGTGAGCTATGAATCATACAAAAATAATTCTGTTTACTTAGACACAAAAACCAAAACATAGATAGAGGCAAAGTTTTGAAATCTAAGCCCATTAGAGCAGAAAACTAACTCTGTCAAACAAAAGTAAAGTGGCTAAGTGGGATCAGTGTGGGAAAAATAAATGATGCAGGGTGGATGGATTGTCTGTAACTATCCAAGTGTTGCACTGCACAGTCATATGCGTGTTGGAACAGTCTGGGCAAAATCAGATCTTCAGATAATATTCTGCAGTTCCTCCAAAGCTCTATATAAGACATATCCAGATGCTTTCTGGTCACTGAGAGATTTCTGCAGGGAGGAAAAGTCTGCTTGAGGCTGAACAGCTTCTTTTACTTAATCCACATTGCATATGGTCATTTTAAGATGTGGCGAATGTTAAATATCTTCAAAATTTGCAAAAAGTTCAGGCTTGCAGGTATGTGCATGTGCAGATGTAAGTGAGAGAAAACATCTATGTAACTGTGTTTCTAACATTTGAAATCTCCTGGGTAACTTTTGTACATAATGTTTGAAACAGATTGCTTATGGATCTGCCATCACAACAACGGTCATAAAAAATTCAGATCAATGCAACACCTGCACTTGAACCGCTGTGCTTGGATTGCCTGTTTTTAACTCTGAAAATCCTACAGGACAAATTCCCATTGAGAGGACTCTTGAGTTTCACTCCATTTCTGAGCAATTACATGATTTAAAGATTTGTGGGCTATATCTACATTCTTGTTTTGTTTTCAACGTAGCATGCAGAAAAAAGGGGTTTTTTCCCTACATTGAAGCAGTAGTCATTTAATAAACAATAAACATTTTTGGAATAATTTTGAATTATGGCTCATATATTAAGGTAGTCTCAGAAATGTTACAACCTTAGCTCTTTCTCCAGTGTCCACTGTCTCTTTCTTTTTCTGAACATATTGGTCAAAGTACTTCATCTCTTAGAGACAGCCTTAGAAAACACAGCTGATTCCCATTTGTCATGGCACTGAGGAGCATTCAGTATTTCTATTTAAAAATTGTTTCATTTGAGTCTTACTTTACAGGCTTAAAGACTTTAAATTTTTGATAATAACAGTCTAGGCAATGCAGCAGATTCATTAAATCTCTTTTCTAAATTTTATTGAAACCTTCTCCAGCTTCTTGGATATCTAGGGAATGATTGTAGTCAGCCTCAAAGAGCACTAAACTCACAGTTATATAGCAAATATTAACCCTAAAATTGTCATTTAAAAAATAAACTATGACCTTTAGTGAAGAAATCTGCAGAGAACATTCCCTGTTACGTCTGAGCAAGACTTAAAGGGCAACTGCTTCTTCAAAGAGAGCATAGTTTCAATAGGAAGAGTGAGTATACAATTACTAAATATTGGAAAAGTCCAAGTACAAATTTACTTTGTAATGACAGAGTGGAATGCTGTTCTTTAGGAATTTGAACGGAGGTTTCATTTTAAAAATCACCATTTTTTCCACTAGGAACTTCACTCAGAAATTCTGTTTGAAGTTCCCAAGAAAAAAGAATGCAAGAATTTCTATGGCAGTCACAGGAAGGAAGAACAGGTATGTTTATACCAAAATCATTTATAGTTACTATTCCTTTGGATGGCAAGTTTGGGAAGTGGTAACCAAGCTGTTCAGTGCTGCTGAGGGACTAAAATGGATTTTACAATAATGGCAGCTAATGCTGGTTTTGGAAAGATCCTTAGGATGCACAGCACAAAATGTGAAGCGTCACAGCCCAGATGATTCCTGGAATGCCAGCTTTCAAAGAAGGGACTCCACTTTAAGAATTTCAAGCCAAATTTTTCACAATTCACAAGGTTCCTGAATAGTTCAATCTGAGGAAAGGCACAGCAATGCATAAGATGGTATCAGAAGTAGCATTATATGATACCATGGCATTTTTCCAGCCCTGTGATGCCAGCAGGCTGGGATTTGGGAGCAGGGGCCAAGGGAGCAGTTGATCATTCTTTTAACCTGAAATTAATTCTGAAATCCCGGTGTTAGTTTGCATTCTATTAATCTTCATTGTTAAATTAAAATTATTCCAGGAAGACTGAGGAATTGTTTTTATAAAAATCTTACAGGTTTTCTCAATTTACCACTTTCATGATAATACAGCATGTTATACATTATAAATGCACTTACACATCTATACATTAGATTACAAGTACTTTGAACTAAGGGAAGACCTGTCTGAATGTCTGCAAGCAAGGGATTACTTATAAATACCAAGGTGCAGACATACAGTTCATTATCTGATTTAAATTCTGGAACTATCCCATTTAGAAACAGTTTCATGAACTGATTCTAGACAGGTATTTTAGGCAATTTTACTTAACTTGAAAGAAAACTATTTTTAGATTTCTTGAGAATTAGTATTCTTGAGACTAACTAGGTTAACAGCTTAAATTGAAAAAAATAGAAAGGAAGAGGGAAAAAGCAGGAATTTCTCTGAAATAAACTAAAAGTAGAGTAAAAAAGAAAGAAGTATTTCATACTGGGACTCTGCACTAGTATAGACAGGGATGTGCTCTTCCTAGATCTGGTGACACGTGAAAAAATTCTCACATTCACTTTTTAATTTTGTTTAAATAATTCAAACACACTAACATTATTTCATCCCTAACTGAGTTTTCTTGTTTCGTACACCTAAGAATCAGGTACAAATACTGAAACCCAAAGAAGACTGTAAGCTGTATGAGAAAATCATACTTATCACTGAGGAAAGATTGGTCTTCCAAAATATTCTCAGGTTCACTTCTGATATGAGTGAGAGTCTGATTAATTTACCATCTGAAATCAGCAGTTCTCTGTAAGACACATTCAGGCAGCAAGTAGCAGAAGGAATTCTGCATATTCTGTGGACTGAAGTATTGTTTGAAAAAATAATTAAACATAATTATTAGCCATTTTAACCAGTTTTCAAATTATTTAGTTGTTTTAAAAATTTCTTAGAATCATTGCTAGCAAATATTGCCAGGAAATACTACAGAAAAAATCAAATTCAAAATGTGCTATAAAATTGGTTCCTAAATAGATCAAAATTGCCTTTGGGAGCAATTCTATCACAACAACATTTCAGCTTTGGCCTAAGATATTTGATTGATTTCAGTGAAGCTCTAAGATTTTAGATCCTGTGGTTAGGTTATAATTGCTACATAAATGTAAAGGTTTTAAAGAAGATTTATCACATATAATTGGAATGTTATTAGAATAATTTTTGTGTTGCTTTTATGCCTTTATGCAATTACATTTTTAGAAGATATTGACTGCCTTTTATAATGAAAACAATATATTTTACATTGGTGCACTGCACCAATGAAGAATCTGAAAGTATTCTTGTAAAACTAACCCCATGACACATGATCAGAATTACAGTGTCTTACTACCATTTTTCCCTGTTATTTGGTAGTGTTGGTGCTGTTTAGTAACATAAGGAACATCAACAGATATGATACTTATTAAGCAGAAATGTAGTTCAGAAACAAATTTGTGCTGCAGAAAGGATTAATTAAGTAAATAGTACCTTGGGCTGCTGTTTCTTTTATTTTTTAAAACCTAGACTAGACTTGAGAAGCTGTTATGCTGGCTGAAAAATCATTTTAATATTACAGAACTGTACTAAACACCCTTAACTGCTGCACTGTACTCTGAAAAAAATTCCAAGTGTCTTATGATTTATCTTGCTTTGGGATAAAGTACAAAATCGTTGGGTAAACCTACATATATTATTACTAATTTATAACATTATTAGTTCCTAATAATACTTCCTGTATTACACTGCCTGTAATTCTTTTCATTGGAGAATTCTGCAGCGCTCTGTGTTAATGAACTGCCTGCAACTGATTAAGGCACCATTCCCACCTTACAGGAAATTGCAGCTGACCAATGGATAGATCCAGTTCAGGAGTGCAAATGCCTTGGAAACTCAGGCTAATCTGATCTGCTCAAGGTCACATAGCAGGTTTATAGTCCAACCAAGAATAAAAACCCCAGGGCTTCTAATTCTCCTTCCAATTCCCTTTTCAATTCCGACTTCGTGCCATTCCATAGCAGCCTCTCCCAACCCTTATGATAACTTATAGCTGGAATACATGCTGAACTGAAAAACAAAGAGGTTTCTCAATGTTTCAGCATAAAACTCAACTTTTTTTTTTTTTTTTAATAAAGCTGCTTCTTTCCACTTGCTCCTCGCCAAAAAAAAAAAAAAAAAAAAAAAGAATCAAGTACTAAAAGTACTAACTACAAACTCAGGATTTTGTTGTTTCAAGGCTTTTGTGCAGAAATACTTCTGTTGGTGACTGAAAACTGCAGCAATGGGGAGTAGTCAGAGCAAATATAACAAAGCACTAATTTTTGTCTTGATTTTTAAAAATATAATGGGATTCAAAATAGGGTACAGCTTTTCCTGTTAATT